TAATTGCTAGCGGACTAATTACTTTATAACCCTGTCAGAAATGAGAGAGGGCCTGTGCGTAGCGTCCACTTAACATGAAGCTAATTCTTATAAATAAAAAATATATTTACATATTCTATCATTAAATATATCTTCTGAACTTTAACGATTCTTCAATGTCAAGACATTTCGCGTTGCGAGCGTTGAGAAATTTTTTCCTGCTCAACGATGCTTGAAATTTAAAGGTCTTCATCAATGACATTCCCTTCTACAGAGTTAGCTAGAACTTTGTTTGAGATTTTCAACTTCTTTTTAACTTAATAATCTCTGAAAGTGAGATATAATGGACTAATTATCTAACGGATGAGGAATAATTATTCATACTCACTCATAAATATTTACTTCATTATAAGGAATGCTCAAGGTTGAAGTCTGTCTTTTCTCTAAATGACAATAGAAAGAGACAAGAGAGGGATAGAGATAATTAATTTATGTTACTGATAATCAACGATTAGAAGACCGTGAATGTATTGTAGTGTGAAACGTTATCTATACATATAAATAAAATAGAAGTGTCTGTCTGTAATATAAAAATAACTGCCTTTTATTGAGCTCGGGAGGTTATGCAAGCGATTAAGACTATTTGTAAATTTTTCTCTCCATCCGACTGCTGTTCGGAACCATTCCTAACACAAGCATTTAGAACTTACCTGGAGTGGTTAATAAATGAATGAACGAAAATGAGTAATGAAAATAATGAACTAATAGATAGTCGTTCCTAAATAAAATGAAACACATTCAGAGCAAGCCGAATTCGATTAACGCCAGCACCTATGAATTTGTAAATTGAAATTTTGGTACTGATAGCGTTCGTGCCAAGTGCAACGTGCAAAGCCTTTCTTAGGTGTTAAGATACCCTAAAAAACAGGTTTGCACGTTTACCGCTAAAATAAACCCTAGGAATGCTATTAAATAACATTAACATCTAATGTTAATAGCATTCCTAACTATGTTTTAAAAAATACTTACTCAGACGACTCCTAACTGAAAAGCAGTTCTACCACCTAGTAATATATTACGAGTTCCATGCGGCTCTCAAACTATGGGGGCTTATTCACAAAACCGTTGTTTCCTTGAGTTTTTGCATGTGGCTATATATTTATTATTTGAGTTTTAAGTTCAAACATTTATAAAAGCTTTTAGAAAAATTTACTTCGCAAATATCCGCGTTATAAAATAAAATGATGTGTCTTACCTAGTATGAAGAGCACCTCCCGCCCTCCCTCAATTGCGTGCACTATCCCCGTCACCACTAATCCCAGCACCGCTACTCCCAACACCTCTACACTAGGCAAGTTGTTTCTCACTAACAACTGCAAGTGTTTCTCACTAGTTGCTGCAGTTACGTTTTATTTAAAAAACAACCAGATAATATTGTACATCGAATTAAATTTATATAATTTAAAATTTAAAATGTATACAACCGACTTCAATATAAATTATTAAGAATAACTCAAAATCTATTAGTCAAACCTTGATATATATATATTTAAATGGGATCACATGTGAAGTACCAGCTTTCAAATAAAAAAAGAATCATCGAAATTAGTTCACCCTGAAAGAATTGATGAAGTAACACCCAAAAAACATACAATCAAATTAAGTAGCTCCTCCTGTTTGAAGTCGGTAGGAAATGCTGTAAACAGAGTGTGTTATTAGTGTATTTCTAACAACGGGTAACGGTGTAGTGTTGGTGTAAGAATATCCACAGCCCATATCGTCCCGTGAGTGTTGTAAGCGGCGACAGAGGGAAAATGAAACAGAAAATGGGCGGCAACTTCTTCCTATAAAATAACTCAGCATTATAAAAACCGCATAGTTGTGGTATAAATGAGTCAGCTCGAACAGAGAATTATCACGCTCTCACAGAGTACCAACCTAAAATAGTAACACAATACTGCAGTGTTTCGCATGGTGAGTGTACAGGACCGGATTCACTTTCAACTGGAAACGAGGAATTATGTTAGTCCCCAAGGGTGACAACGCATCGACATGTTGGTTTTGATGACTATGGGTCACAGCATCCACTTACCTTCAGGTGGACTGTGCGCCTGTTTGGCACCTTATTTTTTTTTAAATACCAACCCGCATGCCAAGTGTGACGATTAGACAAATATGTCCCCTATGACTCACAAATATTTCCTCGAAATATTTGATTCCTGAGTCGTTCAGTGTTCCTAATGATGTTTTAGTTGTCGTCGAACACACTGTAAATCAGCACGTAAAACTGGAATTACCAATGTTATTGGTTACTCGTATTTTGTAAATTTACAGCGATCGTAGCTCACGGGCTGAGCTTGAGCGAGCACTGACCTTAGTGAAACAAATATAATTTTTAACACGCTTTTATTAGCTTGGTATGTATCTATGTAACGGAATTTTTGAATGTGGTTTTCATCCCCTTCCAAACGTTGGATTGATTTGAAACTTCGCACACTTATCAAGGACCCATGACAATGCAATAATTTAAATAGTTTGTCCCATTATCCTTGCCAGGATCTTCAGCATTTGTGAATAATTCATAAAACAACTACGATTCCTGCCAGTCCAATCTACTGTAAGCCGCGTAAAATTACTTAATTCCAAAAAAAGAAACACGCTTTTGTAGTTAGCTGCAACAAAAAAAATAGTTTAAAAAAACTAAAAAAATACGCTTTGGAGATAAGTGAACTAAAAAGTAGAAAATAAATTTCAATAAGTTTAAAATAAGAAAATATTGATTACGTAACATAAAGAAAAATATTTTATTGTAAATAAGCGTTGACGTTCTGGGGGTGTATTTTAAAATAACAGTTAGAAAGAATTATTTGACCACAGCGCGTTATATCTTACACAACTATGTGGCTAGCGATACTTCCCTCCTTACTTCTAGCTTACTGTATCCTACTATACCGACGACAAATACAGCAGGATACAGCAACGGATATCTCCATAAACACTATACAATTTTATAAATAAAAATCTATTAAACTTGTTTGGAATGTTTTCCAGCATTAAACTTATTACTGATCTTTTTTTAAATAAAAAGAAGACCCAATTCTAACAAAGTCATCGTACAATCCTCGCGAATCAGTAAAATAAAACTTAGGAGGACTGCTGAATGAATAATTGACATACATTACGTATGTATCCAACTAAACGAATTATTTTACGATGTTGCATTAACTTCAAAATCTTTACAAGATCTTCACGTTCTCCACAAAAATGTTTTTAGAAAATGAACTTCGTATCACATTGACACAAAATGTTGGAGGTTATCGTTTCCCTAGCTGCAGGAACGCAAATATCCGCGTTATAAAATAAAATGATGTGTCTTACCTAGTATGAAGAGCACCTCCCACAAATGTGACGTAATTGGCTTCAATATCGTACCTATATAAACTTCTAACCCGCATACATTATGGAGACCAACTTATTGCTTATTTTAAAAGGCCTCAGTGTTTTTGTTTGTATTGCGCCTTAAATTACTAACTACACTTGGGCTTTATTTTAAAAAGGAAATAAAATATAATCTATTTTAAGCACAGAAAACAATAAAAAAATGTCTCTTCACCAATCATTCTCATGGGACTTTTACAACGGAAAGTGGAAAAAAAATTATGACATAACAACGCGGTTTTTGTGGTTAGTTGCGAACAAACTTATGGTCTCCACACACGGTCAGTTAAACTGACATCAGTTCAACTGATCATTTCAAACGGATTTAATCCAAAACAAATTCGACACACACGATCAGTTCTACGGATCATTCCAACTGATCAGTTCAAACTAGGGCTGTTGATATTTTTAAAATATCGGATTTTCAATATATCGATAATAATAAATATATCAATATCGGACTTTTATATATTGGAAAAATAAGCGATATATCAATGCTTATTGCTTAAAAATGAGTTACACAGTTTATAATTTAGTATATATACTAAACAAATTAAATTATAAATGTATGAAAATTTATAATTTAATTTGTTTAGTTTGTTTGTTTAGTTTTTATAATTTAAAGTTATATTTTTTAGTAATTATTAATGAGCCGTGGTAGCTCAGATGGTTAGCGCTCGCTGTAAATATCACAGTACGTGAGCGCGAGCAACCCGGGTTCGATCCCCGCTGGCACCAATGAAATTGTTAATTGTAATTTGAAGTGCTGATTTACCACGTGCTCGACGATGAAGGAAAACATTGTGGGGAAACCTGCATGTCTGAGAAATAAAATAAACATTTCAAAAAACGTGAAGTTCGCCAACACGCATTGGACGCGCGGCGGACGTTGCCCTAAAACCCTCTCAGAAATTAGGAGAGACCTGCCCAGCTGAAGAGTGCCCAGCATTGGGACGTATAAGGCTGTAACTTTAACTTTAATTATTGTTTAATTTAAATAAGACAATTATGTTTACCAATATTTTTCTTTTGTTGTTTTATATGTTCAGCTGTTTCAATACTGCGATTATTGGGCACTAAATTTTGCCAATTTTATGGAATTTAGTCAAAATTTACAGTTTTTATGAAAGTCTACAGAAATTATTGAGTTAAGTAAAGTTTGATTTTGATTTTTATTACTGACTTAATCAATGAGTTTGATCGAGCTTAAGGTCCTTCTTTGTTCCGTATGCACTCTCTGAATCTATCTGGGACACTTTCAATCAAGTGGGTGATGTTTTCCTCGGGTATTCGCTCCCAACACAATTTTAGGGCGTTTATGAGCTCTTGTCGATTAGTCACATTACTGAAGTTCGATTTGAGGCTTCTTTTCAATTGGTCCCATAAATGTTCAATGGGGTTAAGATCGGGACTCATGGCCGGCCACGGTAAAACCGTAATATTCGCTTCAGAGAGAGCTCTCTGGGTTGTTCGCGCTGTATGTGGGCGAGCATTGTCTTGCATAAACACGAAGTTTTCACCCACTCTTTGTGAAAATTGGATGACATGGGGCCGAATTATTCGATCGAAATACCGGGAGGCAGTTATTGAGCCTTCTTCAGAATTACCAGCTCAGTTTTACAACGATCCGTTTCATGTATGCAAGGTTCTGAAAAACGTTCTCCTTCTCTTCGCCACATGCGCACTCGACGACAATCGCTGAAAAACTTCACTTTACTTTCGTCCGTAAAGAGTACATTTCTCCAGTTGTCCATTGTCCACTCCGCATGCTCGCGAGCAAACCTGAAACGTGCTGCATGATGCGGTCTTGTCAATTTTAGACGAATAACACGAGATCTGGAACGTTGTCCGTCTTCATGGAGCCGATTTCGAATGGTTTGATCACTAATTCGTATGCCAGAAGATTGCCGCAGTCGATTTTGTAAGACACGGGCGGGAATCGTACGCTCTCGACGTGCAGACAATCTGATATACTGGTCTTCCTGGACGGTTGTAGCTCGCGCTCTTCCTGATCCAGATCTCCTCGCGACACTATCTGTCGCTAGGAAGCGTTCCCACGCGTTACAAATAGCTCGTCGCGACACACCAAGACGTCTTGCCACTGATCTCTGAGATTCTCCCTCCTGAAGCATAAACACTGCCCTTGTTGCTGTTTCCACATCCATATGACGCCGAGAACCAGGCACAATGATAGAGGAGGACCTACTCGCTATTAAGCAACATCAAACTCATTGATTTAGTCAATAATAAAAATCAAAATCAAACTTTACTTAAATCAATAATTTCTAAAAAGTAAACTTTCCTAAAAACTGTAAATTTTGACTAAATTCCATAAAATTGGCAAAACTTACTTTTATTAATATTCACACACTTTCAAAAACCCGAATTTATTCATTCCTAATCATAAAAACTGAAAAAAGAAAAAGAATCTGTAAAATTCATTTACAAAACATGGTATTTTGTTTTGAGTATTTTATATCTATACAAATAAATAAAATCGTGTCTATTTGTAATGTCAAAATAACAGTCTTTTACTAAATGCATATGAAAGTACATACGGTACCTATAAAAAACACGATTTTTAAAATATTTGTCTATCTTTCTGTCTGTCTGTCTGTCTGTTTGTTCCGGCTAATCTTCGAATCGGCTGAACCGATTTTGACGAGACTTTCAGTGGCAGATAACTGATATTATATGGAGGAACTTAGGCTACTTTTAATTTAGAAAAAGAATTAGGGTTCCGTGCAAAAACATAAAACCCATGAAATCCAATTGTAATAAATTACACGCGAGCGAAGTCGCGGGGAACAGCTAGTTAATAGATAGGAAATGATATTTTTAATTTATAGGAGTCACGCCAACTAAGCGCGTATGGCTGCGGCTTCATCGATCTAGAAATTAAATCCGTTCCGTATGTATATATAATAAATAACGTTTCCTATATATTAACACTTCAAAAGATATTTTTATTCATGGTAAGGTCAGTATTAAGACACTTTTAAGAAATGGGTCAGATATTATGATAAATTTATTCACACTACAGCCCTTCACAAGTCCACTGCTGAACATAGGCCTCCCCCAAAGAATGCCACAAAGCACGGTTCTGAGCCACCTGCATCCATCGACTTCCTGCATATCTTACCAGGTCGTCACTCCATCTAGTGGGGGGACGCCCTACACTTCGCCTGCCGGTACGAGGCTGCCACTCGAGAACCTTTCTTCCCCATCGGTTGTTGGTTCTTCGAGCTATATGGCCGGCCCATTGCCACTTCAGCTTACTAATCCGTTGGGCTATGTCGGTCACTCTGGTTCTACTGCGGATATCCTCATTTCTGAGTTTATCACGCAGAGAAACTCCGAGCATAGCCCTCTCCATAGCTCGCTGAGCGACCTTGAGCTTTCTCATCCGGCCAGCAGTGAAGGACCACGTCTCAGTTCCGTATGTCATCACTGGCAACACGCACTGGGTGTACAGTCTCGTTTTCAAGTTTTGAGGTATTTTATAAATAAAAATTTATTCATTATGGTAAATTTTATTTATTTATTAATGTGTTATTTATTTTTATCTGTTTATTAAATTACCTATGTGTAGAGCTGGCGACACCCCACTGATACTAACTTGCACTTCGGTTACGGTGAGCCCAAAAAATCCGTGGGCGTGGGCACATTCTGAAGGTCTTATGATGACCAGATAATGCTTATCGGTTTTCAGTAACGGAAATGGTTAGGATGGCATAGCTCCATATGTTTACCTAATTGAGCTCTCGACGTGTTACATACTAAAATAAAGTAGAACCACCCAAACGGCACGAATTAAAATAAGTTAAACAAAATAAAATTCGTAAAGTTTGTTTTATTAAATGTGTAGTATTCGTATAATAAATCAGTCAAAAATCATTGAATTCTAAATATTGAGTACAGGCAACTTTGTCATTTATAGGAATTGGTGTTAATGGTGCTTATAGGTTTTCTTAAAATACGCAGATATTTTCGTCTTCTGGTTGTAGTTGGTTATGCTTTTTCCGTTCTGCCTTGTTTTTTATTGCCTGTAAAATATATGGTCGATTTCTAATTTTGTACCTACTTGGGAGTTTTGCTGCTTTTTTGATTGCCTGAAAACATTATAAAGTGATTAATAATACTGTATGTACTAATTATTATATTTATATTATTTGTTTAGGTACTTCTTGAGCCCTTTCAAATGAGCCTAAACACGATGGTGTTTCGTAGTGGCATAACTGAGATCTTTTACCCCACCCTCTTTGTCCACCATCATGAAGGTAATATAATCACATTGAACTAGGTCTTTATGAGCCCTTTCAAGTGAGTTCAAACACGATCGTTCAATCTAGTGCCGCCACTGAGATCCTATATCCACCTTCGGATTGCACCATCAGAAAAGTGAGGTCATAACAGTCACCTAAGTCTTTATGAGCCCTTTCAAATGAGTTCAAATACGATCGTCCTATCTAGTGCCACTGAGATCCTATACCGACTTTCGGATTGCACTATCAGAAACGTGAGGTCATAACAGTCACCTAGGTCTTTATGAGCCCTTTCAAATGAAATCAAACACGATCGTTGTATCTAGTGCCGCCACTGAGATCCTATATCCATTTTTGGATTGCATCATCAAAAAGGTGAGGTCATAACAGTCACCTAGGTCTTTATGAGCCCTTTCAAATGAGTTCAAATACGATCGTCCTATCTAGTGCCACTGAGATCCTATACCGACCTTCGGATTGCACTATCAGAAACTTGAGGTCATAACAGTCACCTAGGTCTTTATGAGCCCTTTCAAATGAGTTCAAGCACGATGGTTCTACGTAGTAACATTACTGAGACCCTTTACCCACCTTCTGAGTCCACCATAAGGAAGGTGACATCATTACAATCACCTCGGTCTCCATCCTCTGTCAAACCAACTTCTCTAAATATATAAAATAATAGTAGTCTAAACAGCGTACAAATAATGTTATAAAATAATAAAAAATATAAATAAAAGCTACTAAGAAAGTATGTACTTACCAATAATGGAAACGAACTGAAGCCAGCGGATTATGGTGCTCCCGGAAAAATACGTGGGTTGCCGTCAGTTAAAAATTTTAACTTAAGATTTCACATTCACGATCAGTTTTTGGATGTACGTTGTAGTGTTATGCTACATACTTACATATCATTTTACATTATTTTAAATTCATTTTTCCATTCTGTTTCGATTTTCTGCATTCACTTCAAAACTGGATATTTTACATCACCTTTATTTCCATAGGATCCTGTAACGATTTTAAACCATAAGAACACAATAACAAATCATTTCTACTTCGTATTTCCACATTATCAGCACTTTTAAATTGGTGTCAATGGAGTCTACCTTTTTTCGATCTTTTAGTTAGTTTTCCGTAACTCTACAATCTCGAGCTTTGTGTGGGCAGTTGCGCTACCTTTTTTCCTATATCAATAATATCTCATTTTCCACTTAAATTTTGCTGTTTTCTTATTACAAGCCTAAAACCAAAATTTGACATGTTTTGACATTGTTGTTTATTTGGTCTCCATAGCAATTATATTCAAATTTGCTACCGGTCTGTTGTTTCTATTTCGATAATTCCACATAAATACTCTTTTCTCTTGACCATTTACAAAAAATTTGCGTTTAATTTAAATAATTTTTCCGTTCTCTCTAGAAAGGTATAAAAGCCGAACAATCGGTGAAGAAATTCAGTCTCGCTTCAGTTCTCGAATTGGAAGCATCTCCTAAAGGCCTTATCCCGGGGCCGCACTGCCCCGGGATCCTGCAAGCCTCTGTCCTGCCTGAAGCCACTGGACTCTACAAACCTCTGCTCTACCTGAAGTCGCCGGGATCCTACAAGTCTCTGCTCTACCTGGAGTCGCCGGAACCTGCAAACCTCTGTTCCGCCTGAAGTCACCGGAACCTGCAAACCTCTGTCCCGCCTGCAGTCACCGGTTCCTGCAGGCTTCTGTGTTGTCTGAAGCCGCTGAGGATCCTGCAAGCCCCTGTCTGGCCTGAAATCGCCGGATCCTGCAATTACCACATTCACCGGAGGTCGTCGCCTAGAGACGCCCACGCCTTCTCACCTACGCCGTGCGTGCTCGTTCCAGGCGCTGAGAGCACACCTTGGATCTTCAGACTCAGCTTCGGCACTAATCTCTTTATTTTTTTATTACTTTTTTTTAAAATAATCTGTAAATCGCATCATCCATCCTCATATTCATACTCCATTTTTGTATTATAAAATTGTAAATATTTTTGAATCTTAAATATATTATTTGTTTTTGTTGTATTTTTGTTGTTTTGTTGCTCTTAGGTTAGATTCTTTTTGTTTTTTATTGTCGCTTCACGACAACGTCAGTTCAACTGAACGGTTTAACTGATAGCACGCTCGAAAAAATCCGTGTATTATCTTCAGTTAAAAATTTCAACTTAAGATTTCACACTCATGGTCAGTTTTTGGATGTACGTCAGTTAAACTGTTCAATTTAACTGAACGTGAGTGGCCACCATTAGACAAGTTGTAAACAAGTATGCGAGAGTACACTGACTTTTAAGGACACAGTGGTTGTAAAGAAAAAAAAAACTATTGGTAAATCCAATTGAGCATGCCCTAATCGCATTAAAAAAATTTACGTATAACATGATTATACGGATTTTTTTAAAGTAGTTTAAATACACACAAGTTTTCACTAATAACCTTATTATACTTCCAATTTTCCGATAATTTTATGTCAAACTTCAATTCTTATAACGTTCATATGATCATTAAATCATCATTCATGTCACTCCATAAAGTTCAAGACGTATTTAAGTATAAATTAATATTACATCCTAATTACTTTTAGTTCACCCTAACATTATTTATTCTGTGCTTTTAAAATATTGTAATAAAAATCTCTGATTATTATAATAATCAAGTAATATAAAATAGTAAGAAATTTATTTTTCCAATATTTTGTATTTATTTGTACAGCGATCTTTTTGAGCCGCTGCAAACAACCAACACAGTATACACTCGCAACGGCGGTTGACGCCGTACTAACCGAGTGAGGCAGTCTATTTAATAAAATGATTTCACACAAGGCTGCTCCAACAATCATTTATCTTGCTGACAATGTGCTTTTTATATCAGTTATATATGTATAATAT